TGAGGGATGATAAAAAACCCCGTAATCAGGTTTAAGAGGGAGCCCGTCCTTAAGTCAAAACCTTGTAAAACGATAAGAGTAAAAGTAAACGATAACGGCGAAACCTTGTAAAACGATAAGAGTAAAAACGCACGATAGCAGGATTAAGGGTCATTTAAATGGGTGGTGGGTTTTCATCACCCCTCATATGCCTTTTGCAGACACATATGTACATACATGTATATATATATATTACATATGTATAGAGGTACACTGGTGGCATTTTGGCTCAAGCATTGTATGACTGCCAGAGCCAAATCCGTCAATCACATGGTCCCTCCTTCAGGGCGTGACGCTGGTGGTTTAGGAGATACCTGCTTGGATGGTCAGAGATGCACGCTGAATTTTCCCATAGCGACTGGGGATGGACAACGCAGCATACACCTCGGGCGAGTGTACATTTTGTGGTCGGATTTGGACGTCCTGCAAGTGCCGACAGCGAATGCTCATTGCATGTGTACCGTCATGCGGCCCAGTAATGCTCGCGCTGCCGTTGCTGCAGGCCTGGAAACTGATGTGCTGGAGCGAGCAGGGACGTATGCAACTGGCAAGGAAATCCCAGATGCCTTTGCATGACAGCTTGTTTGGTAGGGAAGATCTGGAAAGAGATCCCAGGCAACGCAGCGGTAGGCGAAGCAGACGGCCAGTAGGCGTGTGGCAGGAAGTGGGCACCATCATGCTGCGCATGTCCATGCTACAGGATCTGCCACAAAATGATGTACTGGCAAATAAAGTCAACAAAGCTATAGAGTATAGAGGTCTTCCAGACAGGGCTCCCCAAGATTGTATATATATATTCCCACGATGGTTTTGTTGGGACAGTGCAACAATGCTGAGAAGAAAGAAAACCCTGTGTATTCGAAGTCTTTCAGAGCCGCTCCCCAAGACTTTTAAAACATTGGTGATGTTGGTTTTATTGCGGCGGAGCAACATTTTTGCGTGATCTTCCTGGTCTTATCGGGACAGCGCATCGAATCAATTTGTGCTCCCAGACTGCACAACAGCGTTGCACTGTCCCAAAAATCAAGAATGCAACATCGCTGACCGTCTCAAGAACACCAAGAAAATTTATTGTTTGGAGGGTCTGCATGCCTTAGCTCCCAAAGCATTGGTTTAACTGGGACAGCACAGCATTTGTTGCACCGTTTGTTATGGGGGCAGTGCAGTTCCCAGACTGCAAATATGTGTACTGTTTGAATTTATGGCTCTGAATCAAAAACACTGGGCTTGTAACAGGCTAGGGCGGCCATTTCGCAAAACGGGTTTCTACTGGAATCTCCTGGCTTGCGACAAGTGCCTTCGCGACAACGTTGTTTGGTCGGGCATACCTGCACCAAGCATTCGCAACAAGGGTTTGTGATAACAGGCCGCGACAAAGGGGTACGGATATTGATCCACAGCCATATATTCTTCTATACATAAATAGATAAATGAATATGTGTATATATATATACGTATATGTACATATACGAACGCGAAAACATTGATTTTCCCAATACAACCAAGAAAACCAAGCAGTGGAAGGTCTTCAAGGCCTTGGCTCCCCAAGACTCCTACAACTTCGCAGATTCTACAAGCATTCTGTCATGGCAGATTGAAAAAGTGCTGCACAGTCTTCATCAAACCAAAAACCCTTCAATACAGCTAATCAAACTAAATTTGGAAGGCTGTCGGCTGCCCATACAAATCTTGTGATACATTTGATTGGATCAGTCGGCAATAGCGTTGCGCGGTCCTAGTCAAAGCAATCAAAAAAAGCAAAAACGTTGCCAACCAATGAAACCAATGTTTGGAAGGTCTCCGGGTTTCAGTCTAAATCCCGTGGCAAATTTGAACGGAATAGATACCGGTATGCCCTCATTCCGGACTCCTGGTTTTCGAAATGGCTCCGTTCCACATAAACTTTGTACTTATACAAGACTTTAGCTAGCAGCCAGAACCGTCGAATCCTGATAAAGGTTCCAGCTCGTGGGATGATGTTAGAGCATTACAGGCGCCTTGGTTTGCGGTCCTGCCCGTGCAACACTGCAAACCAAAGCTTTTCTGTGTAGGAACATCCGCAAAATGTATACTGGTAGTGCATATGTGTCCCTTGCAAGCCCTGTTTGGACATGCTATGGTGAGTAGCCCTTGTTTCACACGGAAAAATTATCCTCCCAAGCCGCGTGCGGCGTAGAGCTGCAACCCGCAAGCAACGACACCCATTGAACCCCGTGTAGCCTTTCCTGAGTATCTCAGCCTGATAAATCCAGAATACGTATGGATGCAAACAGTAGCACATCTGCCATAGTTGGATGCATGTTGCTTCGAGGGTCAACTTCAGCCGTGCTCCACAAGACTCAAACCTGATTTTTTCATTACATCTTTAACATCCAGTCCTATTCTCTCAACCCTCAAAACAGCTGCCAGAGTATACCATAGAAGCCTGTACATTACCAACATAGCGTATCGAAACCATGGAAGTTGGTGGCATCCCGCCTGCCTCTTCAGGTGAAGGAATCAAAGCAAGATGTTGCTCAGCTTGTCACATGCTTCGTTTCCTAATCCTGGAGCCATCTCTGGACTCCAAAGTAAAGACCTGCAGTTGTGGGTTTTGGCTTACAAGTTTTGTACTTATGGAGCTTTGTCCATCAACCTGGCACATGGAGGTTACCCGGGTATTCCGTCGCGAAGGTTCTCCTTTCATCTTCTTTAATAGCCATTTGTGGGAGTCAAAGTGAAAGGAAGCAAGGATGTAATTGTCGCAACACGGGACAGAATGTTCAAGAATATGTTTGTTGGGAAGCGAGGGGCGGGGACTGGGCTCGGCGGAATCTACGCCATTCTTGCCCAAAAGTGTGTGTGTGTGTGTGTAGCCTTCGAAAGAATGCGCAGCATGCCCCCATGGCATTGTACTGATTTTCGTCTGTGGCCAGTGCAGGTTTTGGGTGTTCGCGAAAAGGGCCTGCATCTATCTAGTTCAAAGCCAACACCCGGACTTCTCAACAGAAGATAGGTGATCTGACAGGCAGCAAGGAGGCAACCCTTCAAGACAAGCAACTGGGATCGTGTCAACATCTTGAAGCCCTCTCATCAGAGGCCGGACTCTCACTTCTGCGTCTCTTCGATGGGCTGCCTGGTAACTTAGCAAAAGCCATCAGAGGAAGCAGCACTGAACCAGGGACCATCAAGGCGTGATTCGTGTAACTCAGGTTTGACCCGATGCATTTTCTGGAGGCATCTTGCTGAGGGACTCCCTAAGGATTTTATGACTGGAGGACGGCATGCTTAATTCAACTGTCACAGAAACCGACAACATGCCAGGAGTCCTTGTCCAGGGCATGGGTTATTTATTACATGCGTGGGGCCCACTGCGTTGTAGTGCGGTCTACATCCAACCAAAACTGGACACTGGCTTGTTCTGAAAGACTCAGAAGCCTTGCGAAGGCAAGTGCGCAGACTACTGGAGCAGCTTGGACCTGCGCGGGTACCTGTACGTGTTTGGCGGCGGGCTGCTCCTCCTGAGTGTTGTCAGCTTCGAACCTCGATTCTGGAAAAAAGATATTGGGGCCCTGCTGGTGGCCGGCTACGGTAGCAGGTTAAGGCTTCTACTATGAAAGCGGAAGCACGCCATCGTTGTGTATTCATCTTGCAATGACCCGCATTACTCCGACTGTTCCGTGCGTCAGGTGATAGGACTCGCTGACGGGAACAATTAGTCATTGGCTGAGGCTGCTGAGATAGTCCCAGCAAGGTCTCTGCATCGGGTCCTTTGCGAGCTAGTATCCTGCACATGTGCATAGTGATTGTGAACGAGGCCCATGCCCGTATGGTGGACTCCTGAAAATTAGAAATCTTCCAGCCTCCATTCCAGCATGATTTAGATTCCACATTTGAGGGTTTCCGGCTTTGAAATTAGAAGACACTCCCTTGCTTCAGCGCAGCATTCAAGTTGGATATCGTTCAAATTGAGCACCGAAGACGACAAATTAAACACCTCCCAGTGACATCCCAGTCACATCAGCTTGTTGAAAACAAGTGCCTCTAGAACACCTTTTGAACGAACCTGGAACGCCGAGAGACCGCCTACCAGAATTCCCTTGAACCCCTTTAGAAAGCCCTGGAACGCAAAAGGGGCCGCCGGGCATGTTGCGTCGGTACAGAAAGCTGGAAATCTGTCTCAGCAGCGCTGTTTAACTTCTTGCAGGTTTGCAAATTGCAAGTTTCAGGCGTCCATTGTAGTAGAACTTTGTGCGGAGGTCCTTCTTGGATGGTGTTGGAGACGTGTATTTGGTCGGACTAGGGCAGGCTGGTAATCAAGTCGTTCATAACTGCCCTGTCGTTTCCCAATCCTGCGGCTGGTGAGTCATGCCTCCCCTCCGAAGCATCCGCTGCGTGTCTTGAAGCAAACAATTCGAAAACACGCCTGGAACTCCATGCTGAGACATGTTAATTTTTTGGCTTACAACACCTGATCCAGGGTCCAAATCAAGTTGGCCATCATCCCGTTTTACACAGTGGTGTGGGATTCCTGTGGGATGTACTAGCTCCTTCAACCACTGAGGAATACCTCTACAATGAGTGCCTTGGCATTTGCTTCGGCTCACGAAAAAGGAGTCCCGCCCTGAACATGAATCAGAGCCCTTGGTTTAGGCCGGCTTTGCGGTGGGGTTCTAACACGTGGTGAAAGGTTAACGTAGAGGATTATAGCTGGTTTGCGGGCTGCTAGGGCTTTGCGCTTGAAAGTTCAGTTCGTACAAGAAAGGCGTCATGTTCCATGACTTTGCAGCCTCTGAACTCAAGTTCTCCTCAGCTGCAACTGTACAACTTCACGGGGAGAAGAGGAGAAAACGTCTTTGTTGAATGCAGGTGTTAGCTTCTTTGAGGCCGATATAAGTAGGAGAGTTGAACATGAAAAGGCAAGATCTAGATGTGATATCGAGGTAAGCCCGAACTTTATCTGGAAGCAATTCAGCCATATTGCAATCACACCAGGTTCACCCCGTATCAGAATCGTAGGCAGTTGTCTGCAGTCTTCAGCTGAGGATGTACTGTTGCTACAAAAAGTCTCGCATGACCCTATAGCATGCTAGAATACCATAATTCGCAAGGAGAATGTACTTAATTTGTGTAGAATTGTTTGAGTTGGCCACCGTAAGTCGTGTACGACAGCCACATCTACGAAGCCGTCCAAGAACGTCGGACCATCACACACATTTGTCCTAGGGTAGCACATGCTTTGAAGCAATGCAAATCTGCTTGTGGCTTTGCTCAGTGTGCTTGCTTCCATTGTCGCATTTTATTGCATGCGATAAGCCAAATGAATGTTTCCTGCAAAGCCGTAGACGCAAGAACCCCTGACTTTGACAGGGACATGAAAACGTAAGTTTGAAGCCCTACAGCTTGACCTTTCCCACTTGTACCTGCTTAGGTGGGAAAACTTATTCTGGGACACAGTCACGAACCGGAACGTCGACATGCTCAGGATCTTACGCATCTGCTGTGGCTGTTCAGCAAATTCCAGAACTCAAAACAGGCAGCTCTAATACGTCATCAGGCGTGCCAGCTTCTTACCGCCCACTTTCTCGCCACCGCCGGGGCAGTAGATACGATTGTAGCCTTACCTGGTGATGTAAATTCTGTTGACACCGTCGAACCCAAGATGACTACACGATCATGCTGCCACACCTGCTTTCTACGCCCCCTATTCTCTCCTCCGTTGCCTGCTAGACTGGGTTATTGATTGAAGATTTCGCGAAGTAGGGCGGTATCAAATTCAAGCTAGAGGATTGCGACTTTGCTTTCGCCAATTCACTTTGGCGCTGCATGAACAATATCTGCAGGTTGATCTCAGTGAAGCTTTTGATGTGCCGCTCGAACCAGCCTCAAAGAAGCGCGCCAATGAAGCTAATGCAAGCTCGACTCAAGCTCGCAAGCTCGCTGGTAAGACTTAGATTTGAACATGCGAATGCCCCAGCCCTGAAAGGCAGCAGCCTGAAATACCATTGGAAGAGGGAGTGCATATAAAGCTGTTAGGGGTCAAAGCTTGGGGAGTGTAAGGTACACGGCATGATCGCTTCAATCTGCGAAGATGGGCTGTTGTTCTTTGCACAGGGGTGTGGAAGTCTCTTTGGGCCAAGTTTTGGGGGCTGGAAATCTGAGCTTGGTGGCGTGGCTTCATGCCCGCCCGCCCCTCGATAATGCCCATCCAACCCCGGACGGCATTACCATTGCTTGCTCCAGTGCATCGAAGTTGTCAAGCTTTGCGAGGACGTGCATAGTTTCTTTCGCTATGCTGGCATTCGGCTGGTCCTTGATTACGAGCTCTCTGCCCAGAATGATGTGCAGGGTCTGGGTTGCAGTCTTGTCCAGGTGCCTGGTTTGAAGGACGTTTTATTGGATCAAGCCCAAATCCTAAGACCTCGAGCTGAAAACCTGAAGCTGCGGAAGAGTACTGAGAGCAATGCCGCTGCCAACATTATTTGAGGGTGTATTTGGTCACAAAAAATCCGCAAACGCATTCATTCACACCCTTGTTGGAGTCTGAGGGGCTGCCAAGTTGAGTCAGGACGTCGTGGATCAGTTTTTGAGGTCGCAGGCGGCCTTAGGCTTGAGGACTTGAGGTTGAGGGTGAACCTACAGCCCACACAAGTTAGTTCAGGCGCCACAAAATGCAGCCGCATCCCAGAACCCGAATGTCTAAGCCTTCATCCCCAATGCATGTGTCTTTCCCCAGTCTTAGGTCGAATCATGAAGCTATCAAAGTTGCTATATTTTTGTTTTTTTTTGTTCTTTGTGTTCTGCTCCTTCCAGGGCTTGCTGTTCCCTCCACTCTTGGTTGCCGTAAGCACCTCAGGCTTACGAATGTTGGATGGTTCCGACTGGGATTAGGTCCAGGAACTAAAGGTCTGGAAGTAAACATGTTTCGTTGCGGACTCTGTGATCCATCCAGGTAATGCGACGTGGATCCGGTCCTCAATTGAGCTACACTGGCGCAGTGTCCTTACGGAGAAGCTGACAAAGAAATGGCTACTCGCTGTCTCAGTCGTAACCCAAAATTTGAGGGTTCCGGCGAGGAGGTTTACACAGATCCTGCAAAAAATCGGAAGTCATCGGGTTGACTGCGCTTGTTTCTTTAGTTAGGAGATCAGGGCATCCCTTTCGCAAACATGCCTACACACCACATCGGCCCACATGCACCACACACAAGACTTTCAAGGTCTAGACTACAAAACTTCAGAACCACCCATCAGACCGGATGAGAGAAGGCCTCGGCTCATGGTGTGGCCGAAAACCGTTAAAGTCTGCAACTCATCTTTGTTGCCGTTCCCTCTTGGAGCTCAAGGGCTTCACTCTCTGTGGATGCGCTTTTGCTCTCCACGTTCCTTGCTCCGGTCTTTAGCTCCACCACGGTGTCCAGATTTCTGAGATGACGCAGGAATCCTTGGCAAATCACTGAGTTGCCGAAAGCCACTGCTCGATTCTAACAAATGCATGCCCGGTCCCCTCATGGCTTTCGCAGTTGCACAGTCATCGAACGCCCAAGGGGTTGGCCCTGTCATGCCGCAGCGCTCAGCAATTTCTTGTGTGCTGCACTGGCGCATGGTGCGACTGCATCGTCATTAACGCCTGTAGGATTGGAAGTGCGAGGATGTCGTGCCGTTTTTTCAGTTCGTATATGGTGGCTGATGACAGGGGCAGGCAATGCCAAAGGGCACATGTGTGAGGTTTAGCTTTGTCAAGGCCCATGAAAGGAGCTGCGCGTGCCGCGCGCCGTAAATCAGCTTCCGCCCGGTGCACGCGCCGCACACATCCAGAATAACTGGCCGACTGCGCACGGGCAGACTAGAAGCCGCAAAATGCAGACCCAAACACCCAAAACCATGGCATGGGGGCATGTAATTTTGAGAACCACCCTTTGGACCTGTCTTCACCCGCTTACACTGCATGCATACTGCGCTGTGGTATTCACTTTCACGACGTCCTCAGTTTTGTTTGTCTGGCATCTGACTGTAGAGGAATCCTAGTGTGAGAGGAACTGCGGTCAGCTACATTCCATGTACATGTTTAAGGCATGCCCTTCTCACGATTCTTGGGACTTGGAAGCAGCTGAGGCTGGAGAAGATGCATGGCGGCAGTGTAAACTGGAAGGTATGCAGCATTCAGATTGTGGTTCTGCGCTCCTCTTGCATTTCCTGGCCTTCCTTAGCTTCCTCTTGCGAGCTCCCCTCAAAACCTGTCGCAATATACAATCATGGTTGGGAGACACACATCAACGCTTTGCTTTTACTGGACCCGACTCTTTCTGTTTTTTTCATTGCAAATGGTCAGGGCCTGTCACACAATCGTAACCTACTCCTGATCCTGCTCCCGCTCTTACTTGTTCTATTTACTACAAAAACCACACCGCCCCCACTGCTGCAGTTACCGCCACCGCCCCGACGAGGAGGAGAAGGAGGAGGACGGAGACTGCCTCCGCCTCCCCCTCCTGGTACTACCACTACTACTGCTACTGCTACTCCTACTGCTATTACTGCCGCTACTGCCACACTGCTGCTACTGCTGCTGCTACTGCCACTGCTACTGCCACTACCACTACTACTATTTCTTCTTCTACTATAGTAGTAGTAGTAGTCGTCGTCGTCGTCGTCATCGTCGTCGTCGTCCTCGTACTGGTAGTAGTAGCAGCAGCCGTAGCTGTAGCCGTAGCCGTAGCGGTAGCGGCAGCGGTATCAGCAGCAGTACCACGAAGATGTCATTGAGTATAGCAATGAGCATGACTGGACGACGAGAACGACGACAACGACCACGACCGCCACGACCACCATGACCATGACCGCAATCACCACGACCACCCACGGCGACGACGTCGGTGATGACTGCAGCGGCTGCCATTGTCACTGCAGCAACTCTAATATTTGGAGGGTCATGGGGACGTAGTAAGTAGGTTAATAGCCCCTATAAGCTATTTAGTAACCCCAATTATCCCCATTATATTACTAATCCACTGACTAAGTCCCCATGACCCTCCAAGTACAGGTAGAACATGCTGATGCTGCTGCCGCGGCTGCTGCTGCTGCAGCAGCTGCAGATGTTGTTGTGTTCCGTGTTGTGCAGCTTGAGTACGACTCAAGCGCAAGTTTCGGTTTTCACGTGGAGCTCACAAGGCGGCATTGCTAGCGACAGTTAACAAAGCCATCCTGAGGCGGCTCTTGTGGTTGGAGTCCATGGTGATGGCACTGCGGTGTTGGCAGTGGCGTTGCCAAAGTAGTGATGGTGATGCTTCCGCTGTTGTTGCTGCAACGGTGGCTCGGAGTCGTGTTGAAATCACATCTACTCAAATTTCAAGCTTTTGATCCATTTAGCCTGGTTTGGTTGTCCGCTTTGATAAGTGCTTCCAAGACTTGGACTAGACTGGTAAAATTGAGTTCACAGGATGTTTTAGCAAAATGTTTCACCGAACCAGGCGTCATGTCATTGCGTGATTGTGCTCTACACCGACAAGGCACAAGTGTTGCTTTGTGGAAAAATCTTATCCCAGCATTTGTACATCCAGAATTCCTTGAAAGCCGCCCGCATCACAGGTGCCCCTTTGGTCGGCAGTCAAGCCAAGATATGGTTAGAGTTAGGCTTCCACAATTCCAGCATTCGTGTGCGTTCACGGTTTGTGGCACCCGCTTCTAGAAGGCCCTCCAAGGGATCGCGGCTTCCCTAACTCCTGGAAGCCTGCGCAAACTTTGCATTGAGGTGTTCTGCGTTTCTGGCCGCACCCTAGCATGCCAATTTTGCTGTGTTGCTTTCGGACTGGAAGATCGACACGCGCACGGTTGCAAAGGAATGCTCACTTTTCCTTGCAGCTGGAGGGAAGCACAGAAATTGACAACCCAGACCAGCGAATACAAGAAGATGTTGAGCACTTTACAGCACAGACCGTGGAGCTGCTTTGGGACGCGCTGGATCATGTGGCCTGTCTTCAACACTAAGCATTATGACGCAATCGGAATGCGCTATGAGAAATTGTATCCTCAACACCTGCCACGTTACGTAAGTGACCGCAAATTACCATCCGTTCTTTTCAGGATTCGTACGAGCCTTAGCCTTGGACCTGGCAACCCTTTAGCTGCAAGATTGCAGAGGTGAACTATTTCCTCGTCTTTGGTTTGGTGATCTTTGCCCTGACTCCTTCATCAGCGCCAGTGACAATGGGGGCACATATCCCAGGCCCGCTTCCAACCTGTAACCCTTGACTGGACTGGACATGGCTTAGACGATCTTAGACGATTCGCGAGCTAGAAAGCTGGAAGGGGCTTTGTGATTATGTCAGGTTGACGTATCTGGCATAGGAGCTGCGCGATACCCCGCACATTACATCCATTGTCAAAATGGCAAGCGTCCCAGGCTGGTTCCTGATGTTCCTGCTCGCGTGGTCAGTATTCGGGCTGGCTTGTGCCCACTACCTTGGAAAGCAGATGCTTCCACTGAGCATCCAGAGTGAATCTTGCGAAGCAACTTGTCTTGCACAACCGCTTTCATTTTTGATCGTCCTAGTGCGCAGCTTAGCCAGCAGATGTTCGACTGAACACTTTCATGATGATTCGTTTCGTTGTTGTTGCATGATCATGCATGATCATTCAGCATATCTTGCCCTTGAATCGCGCGGTAGATTGCAATGATTGTGTGAGTCGGTTGTTGCTACGTTCGTTGCACTCTCAGAATTGGGTTTAGTAGGAGGAGGTGGTGGTGGTGGTGGTGGTGGTGGTGGTATCTGCGGCGGGTGTGGCGGCAGTGGCTGCGGGGGTGGCGGCGGAGGTGTGAGCAGCAGCGGCGGCCGCCGCCTCGGCTGCAGTGGTGTGAGTGTTGGCGGTGGGCGGCGGCGGCGGCGGCGGCGGGTGGCGGGTGGCGGGTGGGGGGCGGGTGGCGGGTGGCGGCGTGCGGCGGCGGGTGGCGGGCGGCGGTTGGCGGGTGGTGGGTGGTGGGTGGGGGGTGGTGGGCGGTGAGGGGGTGCGTGGTGGGTGGTGGGTGGTGCGTGGTGCGTGGTGCGTGG